TAAATGGCAAGGCTGGCGGCTGCAATTCAGGTCAGGTCTGCCTTCCAAACCGCAGCCCATGGCCACGCGTCCCCTCCCGTCTTCTCAGAGCTTGTTTGTATTTTCTAAAGAAGGGGCCCTCCTTTTTCAGTTTATATGTCATAGCTCTGCACGTGCTGAGAATGGCCATTGATAAAGCCATGGGCTCGGGCCCAGGCAGGACCTGCCCACGACCTTCGTTTGCTCCGTCACCAACTCACCTTGGGAGGTGACTGAGCTGTGGGTCGTGGTATCCGGGCTCACAGAATGGAAATCGCCGTAGCTGTGTCCCGGCATCGCTTGGATTTTATTTAAGTGGTTGTGGGTGGTGGTAGAAATGAAACTGGTGGTGTCTTCTGGGAGGGAGGAGCCACAAAGGTTCTCTCTCATTGGAGAGGGGGGGCGACACAGATGCAGCTGTTGACCAAAACTCATCAAGTCACACTTAAAATATGCTTTATTGTATGCGAATTATTTTTTACAAGGTATTGGAGAGCATAAGTACATAAAGTAGATTGTATAAGTCTAGATCTGAAAAGGGTGCTTTAAAAGTATTTTCATTTTGGAACAATTTCCTTAACTAACACTCCCCCACCCCCAATAAAAAACCCACACTGTAAGCCTTCCCCCCTCCACTGCCACCGAATCTTGAACGTTTTTTAGGAACTCTTTATTCACACAAGCCGCTTCTATCCCATGTAGATTTCTGGGGACCCCGGGGAGAGGGAGGGGATGGTTGGTGGTAACTGTTACTGTCCGGTCTCTGAGGACTGACTTCAAAGGAAAGCTAGAAGGAAGGGGCCAGCACTGCCTCTCGGCCTCTTTCCTTTGATGTTTGGCATCTGGCCACAGAGACCCCAGGTGAGCTAAGCCCAAGCTTTTGAGAACGTGCCGCCTTGAGACATTTTTACTGTTGCTTGAGGAAACACTTGTGTTTCCAGAGGCCGCTCTCCCTCCGTGCCACTCTGCAAGCTCTGACGGGAGCCTCCCAGGGCGTGAGTTCCAGACCACCCTTTTGGAGGGACAGTTGAAAGGACTGGCCATTGTCTCTCTCTTACTGTTCGAAGGCTGGTGGCCACCTATCAGTTCCTTATTTCAATGAAAAACATAACATTTGTGTTTTAAAAATTGTAAGCTCATGATGAGAGATCTGTAAAAGAAAGGC